GAACCCCTTCATGGAAGGTGCCTGTGAGCTCCCCTGCTGTACAGCCTGGTGAGCTGCAGACAAAGGCACTCAAATGTAGGTTTGCACCACCCAGCCTCCGTGGGTGTTCTGCATTCCAACCAACTGCACTGAGGCCTGAGTAATTGTAGAGAAGAGAAAATGAGTATTTTCCAAAACTAGGTACATATTCTCCATTACATAAGAAAAAAAAAAACCCAATATTTAGAAAACCACATCTAGGTTTCAGACTTCTCTGGCTTCTTTCTTATCCAGGTGAGATGGTTGGAGGAAGAGAGGCAGTTGGAGAGTTTTGGAAGATCTGTTGGCCCTTACTCAGTCTTCCTGCAGATTCCTGGCCTCCATTTGTGCAGCGTTTGTATGGAGACCTGGGAAAGCACCACAGGCTGCCCTGAGTGGTGCTGCAGGCTGCACTGCTGTTGGGCGTGTGACTCCTGGGAGCGACGGGCTGGCTGCAGGAAGCACTCTGATCACAGGAGTTACTGTTCTTGTACTTGCATTCAAGGCCACTAAATCAGGCATCACTGAGTAGTGAAGTTTGGCACTTCCTAGAGTCACCATTTCTTTCATTCATAGGCCTATAGGACTAGCAGTGGTAGACTAAAACCTCATAAGGAAGGGCCAATGTTGGCCTGGTGCAAGTCTTTCTACACTGAAACCCACCTAAGTGTAGGAATGGCACTGGGCTGTTATGTCTGCAGGTAGGACATGAACACTGCATGCTTGATATGAGATACCTGTGGGCCTTTGGGTTGGCCCTCTCAGACTGGGCCCTCATAGGTCAAGCTGGATGTCTCCTGTTTCCACTGAAAAGACACCTATGTGACAGTGGCATGGGCTATTCATAGGTCCCTTGTCCTGGATTCCTTGTCAGCAGGATATGCGTATCCCTTTATGGTCCCATCCCATCCAAGGTGTCTAAGACCACACCCTCCTTGCAGATGCACCTGTGAATGTCCTGTTATTCTGAATGGCAGGCTCTCCTTGGGTAATTGGACAGCGCAAAATTAGGGTAAGAAGTGGTCTGCAGAGCATCTTCTATTCTGCCTTCTTGCCTCTATTTATAGCTGTTGCTTTTCCTTCTGCTTGGAGGCCTTCTTGTCTCTTGAGATCCTTGCCTTTCCTCTCCTTTTCCTTTCAGCTCAGTTCTATCTCATCCCTCAGAGAGGAGTAAGCCAGCCGTGCAAGTAGATCTCCCATGACACTCACACACTTGCTCAGATTAGTACAAGGGAGAAAGTAGCAGAGACAGATGGAGAACAGCAGCTGGTCAATATTTGTAGCCATTATCCGGTCATGGCTTTATCCCTCACCCCCTGAAGGCATCCAGAGCACTGATTCTGAAGTTCAGTGTATTCTTATGCACTGAAATTCCATGTTGTTTATTTCTATTGCGTGAATCCCCACTTTAGTTCCCCGGACACTGTCCAAACACTCACAGGGTGCCTGATTGTATGCTTCCAGCTGCAGTGTTGCGCACATTTGTTTTGCTCTCTTTCCAAGTTGGAATGGGGTGCAGACATCATCCATCTGTGGCCCTTTCTAGGCATATGCAGGAGGCAGACCCTGGAGGCAGTGAGACGAGGCCAGGCTTCCCTCAGGTCGGTGTGGAGTGCGGCTCCCCACATGGCCAGTTCTTCCCAGAGGCCTCTGCGGTTTTCAGGGTCTCATTCTGACCAGAGTCTGGGCCTGCAGTGTGTGCTACAGGTCAGCACACTGCAAAGTGTGCCCAGGCCTGCTCCTTCCCGTCACAGAGAAGCCCTCCCAGCAGGTGCCACTGCCAGTGTCAGTTCTGCCCCTGTTTACTGATGAAAATTCAAGGGTTGGCATAGCCAGGATGCTCACCCTAAGTTACACCTGGTACAGAGCAGAGCTGTCACCTGCCCTGCGGGCCATGAGAGCGAGACGTCATGTCTTCTCATGCTTTGTAGAAAAGAGCCCTTAAGAGTTACTGATACTAAAAATAAAGGCTGGTGCTATTGTACATTTATTTAAAAATTGAAAGGTAAATAGCCCGTCCCTTTTACTTATTGTTCTTTTGAAAATAAGTATGACAAATTATATACAATGTGAAATTTTGCAATTAGCTACTTTTAAGGCAACACTGGTGGGGACCTCATCTTGTGTCAAGAACTCTCTGCATTATACAAAATCGAAAGTCTGAACCCACAAAACTGCAACACCCTGTCCTTCCACTACCACCAGCCTTTGGGAACCACCACTGTGCTTGCTGTCTTTAAGAATTTTACTACTTTAAGCATCTTACCTAAGTGAAATTATCCAGCTTACCCTTTGGTGACTGGCTTCGTGCACGCAGCATGGTGTCCTTCGGGCTCATCCACGTGGTGGCCAATGTCAGAACTTTGCACATTTAATGCTGAGTGATATTCCACTGTGTGTGTATAGCACTTTGGTTCATCCAGTCATCTGCGTGGACGATGGGTTGCTTCCCCTTCATATTAGTTTGCAAAGGCCGCCATAACAAAGCACTGCACACTGGGTGGCTCAGGCAGAAGCGCGTTTTCTCAGAAGGCTGAAAGCTGGAGTCACAGATCGCAATCCCCCTGGCATTAGTTTCTCCTGGGGCCTCTCTACCAGGAGGGTGCTGGCAGTGTCAGTCTGCCTGGGATTTGCCCACAGTTGTCTCCTGGCAGGGTCCTCGCCTGGCCTTCTGCCTGTGCGAGCATCCCTGGGGGCTCTTCTTCCTGGAGGGACAGCAGTCACACTGTTGTACATCCCCACCATGATGGCCTCTTTATCCTGTACCTGCCTCCTGTCTCCAAGTGCAACCACGTTGGAGAGCGGAGCTTGGACATGGGAATGGTAGGGAGACAGAAGTCGGCCCATGATGCACCCCTGACTGTTGAAATGCTGTACATGTCAGTGGAAAGATCAGGGTAAACGTCCCCACCTCTCACTCTCTGGGACACACGCTCAGCAGTGGACTTGCTGGATTGTGTCATAGTTCGACTCTTAATAGTTTTAGGGCCTGCCATGTGCCCTTCCCTAGTGGCCACAGTGTGTCGCACGACCATAGCATGTTTTTGAATCCTTGGGGTAGTTTTGTTGATTTTTCAGTTGTGCATTCAGAGGTACTGCAGGGAGAAGCTGGTCTGAAATCATTCTTTTACTGGGGATTGGGGGGGGGGTGGTTCCTAACAGGGCACTTGCCCCTAAATCCTTCCAGGAACGTGGTATCCCCACTCTGGTACACTTCCTGTGAGTAACCTTGTTCCTGCTCCCACACTCAGCTGCTAGAAGACACCCAGACAGGAGGAGGCTGCCATCAAATGGCCCACTCTAAGGCAGGTGCTTTATTGAGCTGCGGCCATCAGGCAGCAGCCTCTGAGGCCTGACAAGGTTTGTGTCAGATGCTGCCCATATGCAGGTGCAGCAGAAGGGGCATCCCACCCCGGCTAGGCCACAACGGATTTAAGACACTGCTCAGTGAGCAGCTTTTAGAACTGTAAGTTCACACATTACATCCACAGAAGGATAAGGTGTGTGTGTTGGTGTTGTGCGACAGGAGGGGGTGGGGCTGGAGGAGTTGTTATAGCAGATGTTTAAGTGAGATATGGTGTGAGGCTGTATATGGGGTGATACTGGGTGTCGGGATATTGAGTATGTAGGAAATATAGGTGGGAACATGGGGCACTCGAGAACGGGGTATATGTGTGGAACAGGATGAAGAGTGTAGTGGTTGGTATGGATGTGTGTGTGTATGCAGTGTGCATATGTGTGTAATAGGGTGTGTGAATATGTGGAGTTGAATATGAAAATATTTATAGGGAAAGGTATGCAGGGTAGAGAAGAGGAGATCAGAGTTTGGGCTACAGGTATGTGTTTGGAGTAGGACGTAAGGGTATAGGCATTTTATATGAGTGTGAATGTGTGTGTGTGTTTTCAATAGGGCATAAAGGTGGGGAAACAAGGTTGTCTGTGCACTTGGGGCACAGCTGTGGAGTGGGGTGCCCCGCAGGGGGAACGGGGTCTGCGAGGGGAGAGTATGTATGGTAGACAGCAAGGCGGGAGAAGGCTCCAGTGTTACCCTGGCCAGGGCTGGCACCGAAGCAGGAAGAGCTGCTGCAGCCCGCGGAGCCTTGTGGTGTGGGCAGCAGCACCCACCCCAGCCCCAGGTCTGACTCATCTCACCTGGCTGGGGAGCCGATTTGCTGGGCATGGGAGTCACAGCAGAGTGTGTGCGTCAGGCAGCGTGACTTGTTCCTACTAAGAACACGGGAGAGATTTAAAATGAGTAATGAAGGAAGTGGGCAGGAGGTTGTGCTGGGGGCGATGAAAGATAAGCGTCTTCTCCCCGGGGCTGTGGGAGCAGCGTGGCCACCCTAGATCCTGATGCAGGGCAGCCACAGCCATCCCGTTCCAGGAAGTAACTTTAGGAGACCGGCACACGCAGCGTGGTGAGGGCAGCCCACGGACCCCTCCCAGATGCCAGGCGGCCTCTGCAGCAGTAACTCTTTGTGCACTGCGGCTTGCTGCAGTCTTTGCATTGGAGGGACGGTGGCTTTTATGAATGGTAGCCTGGGAGGGGCCTACTGCCACTGGCCTCTGATGTCAGCACAATGAATGAAGCACTTGCAGAGTGTAAAGCCTCAGCACTTGGAAAGCGGAAACCTTTCTAGATTGGCTCTCCAGATGCAGCGTCTCTCGCTGATGAAATCAGCAGTCCCATGTGTCACAGATAATCCATGCACGTTGGGATTTAAATGAGGCAGAAACTGAGGCTGCATGTGGGATAACACGCATCGGATCCAGGCACCACAAGCTTTTTTCCAGAGGCAGCAGCAGCCACGACCCTCTTTTCTGCCAGGCACTGGGGAAAGGTGCCGGTGGGCACCGCAGACCACTGCTGTGAGCTAGGCATCCACTTAGCTGGCCTAATGTTTTGCTTTTGCTGGCAAAATTCCTTGCTGAAGCTTCAAGCACTTGAATCTGATCTGTGCTCTGCATTCTTAACAAACCAGGAAGAAGCTGCCCATGTGCACGAAGCCAAGGACCCAGTCCCAGCCTCAAGCCAGAGTGCACCGGCGGACGGAGCAGATTCTGCAGGTGAGATGCAGGGCTCTGGGGTGGCCCACGTAGGACGCTCAAGATAGTTCAGCCTCTTGCTGTCTCGTGTCCACCTGCACCCCCAAGGGCGGGAAGTGGTGCAATGGGAAAGCCCAGGTGTTGCCCAGGGAGAGCGGGATGGAGTAGGAGGAGCTCAGATGTGCTGAGACAGACCTCTCCATCTGGGGCCAAGGGGAAGGCTTCCAGAAAAGAGTGTCAGGTGAAAGCTCCTGTCACAACTTCTTGCCTTGGTGTTCCTATTTATTCTCCTGCAACAAAGGGGTGCTGTGTTATTCTCTACCCCTGGATCTGCATACTCTGTGCTGCCTTGAAACTCATGGTGTGGCTGAGGTACTGGGGGCTTCCGCTGGGCTGCTTACTCCCTGTCCTCTGTTACTGCCTATGAGATTAGCCACCAGTGCTGGGAAGGGAGAGCAGAGTGCTCTGCCGCTGCTTCCTTCTGCTCCTGTATCTTTATTCTGTCTCAATTTATTTTATTTTTGTCTTTATTCTGCACACTTGTTTCCATGTCCAAGAGTAAAATGCGAGCCTATTTTCCATTAGTTTCTCTAGTTGTAATCCTGGAGATGCTAGACTGACTAACAAACAGAAAGCAAATTAATTCTTCCAGGAAGATTTAGAGAGGAAAGAAACAGTAATTTCTGTGAGTGGAAATGAGAGTGAAGCTGATGTTTTTTAATACCAGTAGATCAGAGGCTGGCAGACAGTTTTCTGGGTACAGAGTAGAAGCAGGCTTAGGCGAGCTTGCTTCATTTGTGCTCCTTATCTCTAGGAGTTGAAGGAAGAGATCTAAGAAGGTGATTTGTTGCAACATCTTCAGCAATAATGCATCTGAGACACTGCTGTGTCAGACAGTCCCAGGTGGTCTCAGGCGACACAGCGGTCATCACCGGCATTGGAAAGTATACTTGTGATAACAGTGGGTAATAGCAGCTACTAAGAGCATGTCCTGTGCTCTTACAATTTAAAACTTTGACTGATCCAGGCACTAGTTATATGTATTATATTCAATCTTTAGAATAACCTCTGGTGTGCTTATACTCTCAGTAGTCCTGAGGCCTTGTGCATCACCACTGGTAAGTCCTGACTTGCTTCTGCATGGCTGCACGTTGCTGGCTGCCTGGCAGCCCTGCTGCATTGGCCACAACATTTGGAGGCAAAGCAAAGAAAGCTGGGCAGGAACCTGGTCAAGGATTTGAGGGATTAGGGATTGCTGCTAGCTTATTGGACAGCAGCCTTTTCTCCTCCAGCTCCATGTCCCACCACTTCCAAACAAGTAGCATACAGAACACATGAGGATATCTCAAGCCAAATAGAGAGTAACTCCAGCTATCGGATGTTTTGGGTTAGCTGCAGACATATCTAGCAAAGAGTGTTTGATATTTGTGGCATGTTTGGTATAGATTTTTTTTTTTAAATAACAAAATCACAACTTTTACTTCCAAATATCAAGAGTAGCTTTGTATTTTATCATCTGGATGAATAGAACTTTGAACCTTATTAACATTGCTTGAGAAATAGCAGTAAATATTTGGTTTATGTAGGGATTGCTCATGCAAAGAAGCTAGGAATACATTCTCTGTCGTGTCACATGACAGAAATGGGCAGGAGGCTTATTACAGAGGAGGTTTGTGGATTGGATGCTGAATTAATAAACTGTGGATAAATACGAGGTATCCCAGAGTCCTTCTAGGAGAATCTAGTATATAAGATTCTAGAAATATCTAGAATACTATATATATTCATTTATAGTCTCTTTGTTTGGCAAGGAATATAAATTATCAGAGTGACAGACATTTGTAAAATGCCTTCATGATTTAAATTGTGGGATGGTTTGGTCCCACTGGCTTCTGGGAAGTACTGTCATGGGAATGCCATACGTTCTCTTTTCTTTCTTTCTTTCTTTCTTTCTTTTTTTTTTTTTTTCTTTTTTTT